TAATTGGTTGTGGTCTAGGACTGTCCGAAGTGTGAGAAGGTAAAGCGCTACCACTTTAGATGTTGAGAGTAAAGTCGAGGGCAGAAGAGGAGGCTAGAGGAGCTAGAGGAAGTGACGCTGGCCTAGGGAGGTGCTCCCCCACACCCCTTATATTGTAAAGAAGGAGAAGAGGCTTGAGGGAGTCACCATAGCCTTCCTAGAGCGGTGGAATCGATAGTTGGTTTGAGGACAAGGTCCACCATAGCCAAGGGGCCAAGGAGGAGGCTTTATAAGAAGGAAGGAGACAAGGAGCTCGAGGAAGGAGAAAAGTGACCATTGAGAAAGGAGGCGATTTGGTAGGAGAAGGGAGCGATACCTACTACTTCAAGGATAGATGAAGACTACAAGAAGGTTAAACAGAATGACGGTTTAAGTTAGGAGGTTGATAAGCAGCTTTTTTTTTTCCTTTTTTTTTTCTGCCTACTTTTTAATTTATTCCCCAATATAGTATTAAATTCTTGGTCTGATTTATTATAGGTAACTTGGTTGGTTTGTAGGAGTTAGTTCCTCTAGTTTTATTCCTTATGATTGTTTGTTCTCTTGGTTGGTTTGTAGGAGTTAGTTCCTCTAGTTTTATTCCTTATGATTGTTTGTTCTTCATGTATATATACTTCATCTTATGATGATTGTTAATGCTTTGTATGTCATGTTTTTTTCCTTATTCATGGTTCTTCTTCATGTATATATACTTCACCTTAGGATGATTGTTAATGCTTTGTATGTCATGTTTTTTAAGTTTTACGTCTTGTTTGTACTTCCTCTTTATGATTTTATATTTTGGGCTATTCTAGGTAGTGTACGCATGTGTTGTGAGTTCTTTTTCACTAGTTCTACTAGTTGTATGTGCTAATTGTTTATGCTTTTGCTCATGTCTCTACTTTTGACTGTCTTAATATGTGTTGTGAATGCATTTCTACTAATTTCTCTAGTTGTTTGTGCTTGTTGTCTATCCTTTTGCTCATGTTTCTACTTCAGGCTATTCTAAGTAGTAAAAAAAAAAAAGTGGTACATGTACATTTTGTGAGTGCATTTCTATTAGTTTTTCAAATTGTTTGTGCTCATTTTCTATCCTTTTGCTCATGTTTCTACTTCGGTTCATTCTAGGTAGTACATGTATATTGTATGAGTTCATTTTTACTAGTTTTTTTAGTTGTTTGTGCTCATTGTCTATAATTTTACTTATGTTTCAACTTGCGAACTATTGTACGTAGGTATGCATGTTTTGTGAGTCATTTTCACTTGGTTTACTAGTTTGTATCATTATCTCTACTTTTGCACGTTTCTACTCCGAATTAGTCTATGTAGTTTATGTTAGTGGTAAGTTCATTTCTATTAGTTTCACTAGTTGATTGTACTCTTTGGGTCTTTGTCTTTATTTTTCTCATGTTTCCAGGCAGTGTTTGCATGTGTTGTGAGTCATTTTTACTTGTTTTACTAGTTGTTGGTGCTCATTGTCATTACTTCAGCACATGTGTCTACTTCAGACTACTCTAGGTAGTGAAGGAATGTGTTGCGCGTTCATTTTTCTATTAGCTTCATTAGTTGTTTGTGCTCATTGTTTATTTTTTGTCCATGCTTTTACTTCAGACTTGTCTATGTAGCATATGCGGATGTTGTGAATTATTTCTAATTAGTTTCACTAAATTTTAGTCTCTACTTTTGCTCATGTCTTTGCTACGGACTAATCTAGGTAAACGGTGTTTTCGTTAAAGGTGAAATTGTTTTCATGTTCACTTTTTATTTTAATTGTAAAATGACACAAAGAACTGAGGGAAAAATAAGCAAACAACGAGAAAACAATGGTTATTCATGAAAGCTCTTGAAGGAAATTAAACACAAATTTTCACCTCGAATGTTCACACGTACACAAGCCGCAAATATGTTGACATGTCACTCAGTAAAACACGCCAACCTCATCAAAAACTGATGAGAAGTCTAGGAAATGTCATTATACATTGTTGGCAAACCACTCTGTAAACATGTCACTCAGTAAAACACGCCAACCTCATCAAAAACTGATGAGAAGTCTTAGACTAGGAAATGTCATTATACATTGTCAACATATTTTCAAAATTGCCTACAATACACATTTTCACCCGGAATGTTAACACTAAGTAAACATGTCAACCTCATTTTTTCAAACCTAGAACCTGAATTCTCATTGACTTTCCTATCTAACCATGGACAAAATGTCAAATGTTATTCTAAGTCTCATATTAGGAATACTATCTTGTGAGAAACCGAACGGAGGGAAGTGACATTTTGAAAGCAAAGATGCAAAACCTAACATAAAAACACCACAACTAGAAGGATCTTCTTGAGCAGGAATCCCATCTACTGATGTATCAAAGTAGGATGTAGGTTCCTCCACATGATATTTTTTTCGAAAATTTGTCGCTGAAACTCCGCTCTGAAAAAATCTGCCAAAAGTTTGAGGGTTGGACCATAGTCAACACGATGGAGAGAGTCTACGAGGCGGAATTTACACTCAGAGCGATCTATACTGACATAAGCTAAGGCCCAATGATTTCCGAAATGGAGAGCGATAATTACCAAATCAAAATTGCAAAAATTTATGTCCTTCACCCATTTCGTCCCTTTAGAGTATGCGATTTCAGCGGACTGAGCTTTTGACAATCTGGGAAAGAAAAAAGAATTTAGAATATGCACAGATGGAATGCTACAATAACTTTCATCTTTTGCCACTTTTGCACATGTCGATTCCACCTTCTTGATGTAGTCATTGGTGATCTGAACGGCTAGCAGGTACAAATTGACGACTTCATCATTTAACCATTCCCCATCTTTGGCGGCGAGCATGACGTCTTTTTTTCCACCTTCCACCTCCCCTTGTAATCGACAATGTCGTATTCTTCATTCTCTTCAGTGCTGCCGTTAACCATTTCAAGATACTCCTTTTCTTCTACAGTAAGGCATACTGTTGCTAAAAGAATATGGAATAAAGGGTCATACACTGCATACAAACACATATATAAACAACAATAGAGCGCCTAAGACTTCACACAAAAACAAGTGACAGACTACATAGATATGAGCTCATGTTGTTGGTTGTCTATCTGTTTCGTCATCAGTGCTGCTATCCATAACAGATAAACTGTAACCCGCGCGATGCAATTTCTTCCCTTCTGTGAGGCGTATTCCAACAACTTTAAACATCCTTAAGGCAGTTGGCTTCACAGATGGAAATGTCATGGGTGTACGACTTCTTCTCTCATTTTTTAGCAATAACGGCAAAGTTGACAAAGCTTGTAAGCCACGACGAATGATATTCTTCTCTCTCTTCCGTTGCGAATGTACATGTGTCGTTTTCCACAGTTCTTTTCGTCGCCCTGCATGATTGACAAAATAAAACATAATGAGTTACAAGTCCGACTTTCCGTTGTTGAAAGTGACTCATTAATACCAATACAAAATATATGGCAATTGCACTAAGTCTTCATACAAAACAATTGCAGTATTTCTCTTCAGAATACGCACAGTTCCAAAGCTAGGTAAATAAACAATACATCTGAGGGATCGACACAATGGGAGATGAGTGCATGTGATGTACCCACTAATCCGCATATAGTATTAGATATTGCTCCTAAGATAAGAAAGTGCTCACCTCGATGGCTAACTCTCGCAATAGGAGATTCCTCGATAACTATCATGAGGTTAGCAGACTGTGGTGTTCGAGGTTGTTCAAGCGTTTGTTGAGGTTGTACAAGTATGCTTGCTCCGGTGTACTAAGGACTATATCTCCTTCATCCTCTTCAATGCCCTATACATGGAAGAGTTTCGTCCTCCTTTACGCCCTCAAAAGTGTTCTGGAAAGCGTCGCTTACTTCGACCTTCATCGTCGACGACGGCATCTGCAATTTCGTGAGTGTACTAGTAATATCCACTTTCATCGCGACACTGTCGCCCACTAGTATTGTAGTCGCCCAAACTTGGTCAACTGTACTCACGCCCTCGCAACTCACAACGCCTTTTCGTCCCGAAGTTTTGGCACTCACACCGGCAATCGATCCCCGTTGTTGTGTCGGGTTGGACTCAACCACGAGTTTCTTCGCTCAGTCAAGCTGGAAGCGCTCCAATAGTGGACCCCTGTCATGTTCGGCTCGACTGTGTGACCCTTCGACAGGTGAAACAACGTCGATTGGTCCCGAAGCCTTGCCACTTGTACCGGCGATTGATCCCGTTCCCACTGTCGGGTTCGACTCAACAGTGACTGCTGGACGAGTGCCGTGTTCGACACGACCACGTGACTCTTTGACAGGTGAAGCACCGCCGATAATTGTACTGCCCCCCCGTGGTCCCGAAGCCTTGCCAGTCGCACCGGCAATCGTTTCCGATCGAGGTCCCGAAGCCTTGCCAGTCGCACCGGTGATCGTTTCCGATCCCACTGTCGGGTTCGATTCGACTGTGTGACTCTTCGCTCGATCAAGCCGGGAACGCTCCAATGCGAGGCCACTGTCGTGTTCGACTCGACCGTGGGACCCTTCGACAGTTGAACCACCACTCGATCCTGATCCCTTGCACTTTGTCTCTTGAGGCCCCTGAGACCCTTCGACGGTTGAACCATCGTCGTTTGGTCCTGTAGGTCTGCCATGCCCACCGCCGCTTGGTGCTGATCCCTTGCCTTCTGTTGCTTGATGCCCCTTAGACTTTTCGGTTTGTTGTCGTTCCCCACGACTTGCGTTCTTACCGCTTGCACCGTCATTCGGTTCCGTACCCTTGTCACTTGCACCGCTCCCCGATCGCAATCCTTTGCCATGCGCACCTCCGCTCAATCCGGATTCCTTGCCATGGTCACCACCGCCGCTTGATTTTTTCCTCTCCCCAAGATCTTCTCTGACATGCCAATAATATCCATAAGCCGGGCKGGTTTGTCTATCATAGAACTCTTCCAGATACTCAAGCCACTGCGATGTTTTGAACTCTTGGAAAATTTCTTCTGTTCTTTCATCTAGTCTTGATTGAGAAACCTCCGGATTAAGACGCTGGAGTCGCTTGGCAATCTGATTTTTGACATGTTTCAGAAAGTTCGATCCTGACATACGTCTGTGGAGGCAAAACTGTCACTCCCCTTCCTCTTTTATAGCCATAACCCACCTCCCTCTCGCCAATGCAGGTTGGAAGTGTTGGGGGTGCCATATAATGTGATGACCCCATGTGGCATCATCCGTCACCGTATAATCGTCTCGGCACACTATAGGCCTCGGAAGCAGTCGAATGTCTACAGGGATTGTGTCTTCAATCTCGTACTCCAAAGGTTCATCAGGTGGAGGTTGTTGTGGAGTTCGAGAGCGTAGCAATTCCATAATAGTACTTGGGCTGTGTGCAAATGGTGCCAGAGTTGCCACCAACTCTGGGGAGAGCATTGCTAGAACACTCGGATCCAGACTGTCTCCGGATGCCACCGTCATCGTATTGCCCTCCATCTGAGTCGGCGTAACAATAGAAGAAGTCGGCGGCTGAGTCATTAACTGACCCGTTGAAACCGCTATGCTCGAAGCTCCTCCAGAACCGGACGATGTGCCTGGAACACCCATTCTCTGCGAACCCGGGCTACAAGCTCTTTGCCTCTCAGCTGCCAAAGCCGCTTGCAAAGTGTCATCAACACTCTCTTCTTCTGAGTCGTCGGCATCAAAGTCCTCACCATCCACAAAACAAGTCGCATAACCTGCGATTGTAAACGCCCCGATTTGTTGGTCGAAGTACATGGTCTCCAAGCGGTCGAGAAATGAAACCTCCTTCTCCGATGGTGCTTTATGATAACCCCTCAAGAGTTTCTCCACTTTTCTTCTTCTGAGGATATAAGTACGTTCCCCTCTGTCTTGCGGCTTTGTTTCGAAGAGAAACTCCCAAATATTGACCACGTTTTGGCCAACCTTGTGGACGAGATCACGCCCTTCATCATGTCGAGGAGGCGGCTTAGTAAAGTTGGCGTGGTAATCTCGAGTTTTGATCATCTTGTCAATGAACTGAATGAGGAACTCGAACTTCATACCCTCCCCTTCCAGCACAATGCAATGACGGTGACTCTTTAACATCTCCCAAACCAATCCCGCATGACCTTTCCCGAGGAAAACGACAGCCTCATCCACATGACAAAAATGCTCCAATGTCTCCACCATCGCATTCGGCTCCCTTTTCATACCATCATAGACCACTTTCTCTGGTGGATCCATACCTGCCATTTTCCACTTTGATGGTAGAAAGTTCTTCTCCACGACATCAGTCAACATCTTCGGCTTTCTCTCTCTCCGCACAAGTGCCGATATGTCAGCCACCCGCTCGGCAGATGATGGACCTGCAGCTTGAATATCTTCAAACAAGGGAATAGTGTTGCGATGAAAATCCCCGTCGTTGGAGTACATGATGACCATCATTCTGTCCGTGTCCTCCAAAGGCAAGTTTGCAACCTTATACACTTTCCCCTTTGTTTGTTGTAGACGAGTCCATTTGAGAAGATCCAATTGAATGTCCCACATCGCGACTCGCTTCAAGAATGTGAACTCGCAAGGGCGTGAAACGAAGCACAACAATGTCCAATACTCGCCACCAAGTTTGTCCATGAACTTCTTGAGTCCAGCAAACCAGTTGTTCAGTCCACGCACCCATCTGGGTCGGGCGGCACAAATCCAGGACGGCTGTGTGGCACGTCAAGTGTCTGACGACTCTAAACATCTTCTTGCAATCCATCTCGTCTGAAACATTGTTCGGTTCCTACTGGAACGGCACGAATACAGATGTCACGTCCTGTTTCTGGAAATGTATCTATCTCACTTGTCCCGACATACGAATGCTATGCGAACCCCCAGTTTCATATCTACACAACAACTTGTTGACAAATCGAATGAACTCTTCGGGGCATTTATTTGCAAGCGATTTTGTTTTCTTGAAGCCCTCCTCTCCTTTCTCATCCTCGTCTCCAAGTGTAGCCGGAAATGACCGCACCCAACTCGTTTCTTTGAAATGTCGTCACTGGTCGATCCACCTCTCCGATGTCAATCCATGATCAGAATACCTAGCGAACAAATCAGAAAGGTTGTCGAAGAATGGTTCCTTCCACTCTGACGGCTTCTTGTGAGGGTCAGAAATGAAGACGAAGTAGTGAAACATTCTCAACATTGCTCTTTCTTGCTTCACCATTTCCACGTATGTCTCCATCGAATGTTTCCCGACAGTATTAGCAGCTTTACTTAGCCTTGGAGCCAGTACGACGCTTCCCGTGAGAATGTCTCTCAACAGCTGCAGCCTCTCACGCCTCCCCAACGTAGACATAGTCTTCCATGATCTGACATCCAGATCGCGCACAGCCACGAGGTAACCAGGTCCTCTAGTACCCTGAATCCAGTGCACTGGAACCCTGACTCCTTTTTCCAACTCGAATCCGGGGTCAGGTCTCGACGCTTTCCCCGATTCACCTTGTTTGGTGGCAGCCTTCACACCATCTCTTCCCGACAACTGTCCACTCTCCCAAGTAGAATACACTTGTTGCACCTTCTCGAACACATCGTCCGTCGCCCTTGCCAATATCATGTAAGGCCCGAGGACATCGGACCACTCCTTGCTCCAAGGCTGAAGTGAAAGAGTAACCAAATGATCACTCCCGGTCGCGCGCAGAGCCATCGCCACAAACTCTCTGTAATCCTTATTTTTGACGTCTGCATCAGATCCGCCTATAGCTTCTGGACGACCGGCTGCTTGCCACAACTTTCGTATGTTCTTAATGATAGCAATCTGGTGCGGAGGAGTATTCCATTTGTCCTTCGCATTTTGAAAAGTGCTCAAGGTGCAGTAATTTTTCATGCTCCTATCCGGATAGTAAACAGGTCTTGCAGTCCAGCAATCCAAAAGGAGCTCACGGACGATGTCAGGGCGTTCTTGAGAACATTTCCTCGCCGCTGCAACATTGTGTTGACCACTGAGAGGGTACAAGTAGTACTTGCGCACGGATTGGAGATCGAATTCGCGGAGCGTCACTCTTCTCGCCCTCACATTCGTACCGGAAGCGTCAGTATGCATTGTATCATGTAGCCCAATCAACAGAAGGACAAGCTTCTCGTACAATGCACATACATTCACCCCGGCTGCCCCGATCGTTCTCTCTCTGATAGTTGCCTCACCCAACTCAACCATTGTTTTGTAAAGGTCATTAATAAGCTCCTGATCGAGGAAGCGTTGATTATATCTGAATTCCTCATCAGGGATATCCAGAATCTTGTCCAACTTGACAGAAATGAACTGCATTTCCGGCCTCTGGTTACCATTCTCGTCGAACTCAAGGAAGAAGCCTTTGCTCAGATGACCAGAAGAATTCCCATGCGGCAGAATCTGCAAACCGGGCGATCTGGTGACTGTCTTGCCCACAGCGCCTTCATCCGATTGTGGCTGGTCCGGTGGAAAAACGGAAGTTTTTTCCATCACACCTCCCTTCGCTGCTTTTTTCCTTGGCCGCCGTTTTTTCTTCATGGCTTCTCAGCCTCCCGCGTACGTTGGACGGCCTCCTCAACTGCCAGCATTTTCAACTTGCGTTTGTCCTCCTCTTGCTTGGCTCCCCCCTCCTGCTTGGTTTTCTTACTGTCCATAGCACTTCTCCTCTCTTGCCTCATCTTCCTTTTCTTCTCAGCTAGTCGTACTGCATCGTCATGCGCTGGCTCGACCCCTACTTCGCGGTGCATTTCCCCGCGCCCTGGATCCGCTTCCCAATGCCCATGACGCGGCGCGAGCAGCTGCGTTCGTTTGGAACCCCGATGCACATTTGCATACCCTCCCTCGCAGGTCGTTTCCTCTTCTTGCCCATCGTCCTCATACTCAACCCCTAGACGACCCTCCAACTCGCCCGGCCCACCCCTCTCGCTGATTGTTTGTTCACTCTCTACTTCCTCTTCTTCACCACCCTCCTCACATTCTTCGCGTTCTTCATCGCGCTCCCATTCTTCTTCGCTGTTCTCCTCGTCGTCATCTCCAAAATAACGCGACCCAGCAGGAATGGCCAACTCATAGCGCGGCGGGCGGACCAAGGAAACGGGTTCCTTGGTTGATGTTGGTCTACGCTTCACAGGGGCTGACGACACGATTTGGCCGCGACACGGACCTTTCTCCCTGATCTGCCCTAATTTTGGAACTCGTGTTGCAGCAACCGTAGTCCGAATTGATGGCGGAGGGCGGGCACCTATAATGATCGGTTTCGACGACTGACCCGCCTCCAAAGACGACGAAGGCACACTTTTCGGTTCAGATATGCGGTCGGAAGCATGCACCACCGGCTCATGCCCTGCGACCACATGTCTGTCGAAGAATGCGAAAACCGATCGAAGATCCGGCAACGTCAATTTCTCCGTCCCAGGTGGATTGAAAATGTCATAAAGCCTTTTGCCGTACCCAGCGTGTTTGGCCCAACGAAGAGCAACGCGTTTGACATTCGCAATCCGCTCACCTCTAGCGTTAAGGACCATCGTCAACTCCAACATGGCGAACTGTGAATTTCCTCCACTCCACTTCACCACACCGCCAATCGGAACAATGTTATCTTTGATCACCACGTACAAAACCAGCCCACCCGAGGGTTCCCCTATTCCACCCACCCAGTCCAACATCCAGCACTTGTCTTTGTGGTCGACGACAGGCACCTCGTCTCCCACACCTGCAGCGGACGTGTCACCAGACCTTTTATGCCTCGGCATAACGTCCATCACAGATTTCCCCTGCCGACCAGTAGCCTCCTCTTCTCGACCCGCAGCCCCACCACTCATCAGCACAGCCAAATTCGGTCCCGAACCTCGAACATGGGCGGAAGGAGTGCCCGTAGAAGGTGCACCCCGCAGCACCGGGATTCGGTGGCCCTTAGAGCCCGGTGTGTCGCCAGCCCCCACGCCAGTCGTCGGTGTCCTCTTCGGTTTTTTTCGGAGACTGCTCCATGCTCCCGGAACCAGCACTACTACGTCGTTTGCTTGGCTTCCCCTCACGATTCATGCCGAGCAGCTAGTCGCAACTGAAGAAAACGCACAAGCGAGAAAACAGTCATTGCTTTGCCAACGTGCAAACACCACAACACTTGAGAACAAGAGTAGACAGGAACACAGAGCAACTGAAGCGGGCCGCAGCCCGCCAGCTCGTCGTCGTTTCACTGTCGTGTCGAACTCGACGGTCGTGCCACGACGTCCTCCAGTACCGTTGAATCCGACACGAGAGCGACATTGCGGTGTCGTCGTGTCACTGTCGTGTCGAACCCGACGGCACTGCGCGGGCTGACCAACCGTCGTGTTGGACACGACAGCTACACTGTTGTCTGCCGTGCGATAGTCGACCAAGCGGCCCTTCATGCACCGTCTGGTCGACAGATAACAGTGTCCATGTCGTGTTCGACACGATGGTCGCCAAACGGTGCTTGTAGGGGAGCTGACCGTCGTGGTCGATACGACAGCGACACTGTCGTCCGCCGTTCGACAGTCGACCAAGTGCCCCTTCGGGCACCGTCTCGAATCCGACACGAGAGCGACATTGGGGTGTCGTCGTGTCACTGTCGTGTCGAACCGGACGGCACTGCGCGGGCTGACCAACCGTCGTGTCAGACGCGACAGCTACGCTGTTGTCTGCCGTGCGACAGTCGACCAAGCGGCCCTTCATGCACCGTCTGGTCGCCAGATAACAGTGTCCATGTCGTGTTCGACACGATGGTCACCAAACGGTGCCTGTAGTGGAGCTGACCGTCGTGTTCGACACGACAGCGACAGTGTCGTCCGTCGTTCCACAGTTGACCAAGTGCCCAAGTGCCCCTTCGGGCACCGTCTGGCGACCATCGTGTCGAACACGACAGCGACACTGGGGTGTGTTGTGCGACATTTGCCGGGTTCGACACAATGCTCGGGAGACGGTGCCTAAAGGGGCACTTGATCACGAGAACACAAGACAACAGATCGCAGGCACTGGTTAACACGGATAAACATTGACTGCTGAATGTTTGTGCACGCAAAACATCAGAACAATGAGTTTTTGTTTTCCGAAAGGAAACACAACATGAGAACAACAATCAAACACTCGGCTGGCAGCGATTTGTCGATGTCCAAAGCCAAACCAAAAACACGTGTCATCATTCCCGGGTTTCAATGAATCGGAAAACAATATGAGGACAACAACGTCAAATGTGTGTACTTTTGGCCACTGAACACATGACGAGAACAACTAGCAGATACCGCGTATTGTTATCGAATAACACATTGAGAACAGCAATCGAGAACAACCACCAGATACCGCGTATTTTTATTAAAATAACACATTGAGAACAGCAATCGCAATGCGAATTCCACGAGGTTGTCTATCGACTACGGGAAACAATCTCGCCTTTGCGGCCATTTTGGCCATTCAGTATACCGTTTTGGCCATCCAGTATGACGAAGGCTATCTACCGACTACGGGGAACAATCTCGTCATTGCGGCCATTCATCACGGTAATTGGCGATACGAAGGTCAGCTGCTGCGCCGTCTCAGCAAACACCGAAATGTATGTCATTCGCACGAACCCGGATTTCCCGACGAGAGAAGCGCCTATAGCATCCCGAATTGAAACGACTTTAGCCTCGRCCTCGCGCCATGYGACAAYGTCCTCCACCTGGCCACCYACCACGATATMCAGTCTCCCATCTACCCTTCTTTGAACTAAACACATATCCCTCCCTGACATAGACAACTCGTTCCTGGACACATACACGACAACATCGGTCAAGTTTCTAGCCCTGCTTGAAACGGCAATACAGAGGACCTTACAGAAGATGAAGTACGCCAGACGCAATCTCACACAACAATACGAAACTGCTCCTGGCGACAGACCGGGAGATCGCAACGGATAATGATCGATGAACTGAGAATGTCGCGCACAATCGAGTAACGCCTGTTTCATAACACGACACCAGGTGCGAGGCGAGGTTGTCACGTATTCGCAGTCCAAAACCCCCACAACATGGCCTATTTTTAGTTTTTTACACAGTAGCGGCAAGCGCACGGGACGCAGCACATCGAACGACACGGGAATGCGTTTGCCGAATTCGGACATATTCGCGAACTCATAATCGCACGCCCATGGGCATCTCTCCATCATGTTCACCCACTCGCACTCCTCCCACGAGTCCAAATGTTTGTCGCCAAACGAAAGGATTCTCATCCAAGGGTCGCATTCGAAGTCTTCTGGACAAGCGCCTTCATAGGTTATGCTACCCTGACATTGCCGGACGTACAGCGTGCAAGGTGGGAAAAGGTGTGCCTTGCGTGCACGCCAAAGTGCTGGGGTCATATTAGAGATCTACATAGCAACAGTGAAGAGAAGACGACCTGCACGGCACAAGGGCAACGGTCAACAACAGCAATAGAACAACCAACAGCAGCATAGAACTTTCACCCCGCTCCCACCAACCATGGAACAAACCTGGCCGCACGACAGCACAATGCACAGAATCTATGAGCGCAATCCACGCCCATGCACGGTCTATAGCACTGCACACAATCATGAACGATTCGATGACATTGCACCGCGCACATTCTCGTTCCACTACAGGACAGGGAAAGATCGTGTTCGACGCAACGACAGGGCACTCGCCTATCGTGTTCGACACGACGATCGTGTTCAATTCGACGATCGTGTCCGACTCGACAATCGTGTCCGACTCGACGATCGTGTTCGACTCGACGATCGTATTCGATTCGACGATTGTGTTCGACTGGACGATCGTGTTCGACTCGACTATCGTGTTCGCCTCGACTATCGTGGTAGACTCGACGATCGTGTTCGACTATCGTGTTCGACTATCGTGTTCGACTATCGTGTTCGACTATCGTGTTCGACTCATCTATCATGCTAGACTCGACGATCGTGTTCGGCTCGACGACAGGGCACTCGACGAACATGTTCGACTCGACAAACGCAGTCAACGATCGTGTTCGGCTCGACGATCGTGTTCGACTCGACGGTCGTGTTTGACTCGACGATCATGTCCGACTCGACGATCGTGTTCGACTCAACGATCGTGTTCGACTCGACGATCGTGTTCGACTCGATGAACGTGTTCGACTCGACGATCGTGTT